CTGATGAAGGGGTCCTTCTAGACTCCGAAACGTTGCCTTGCTGTAACTATGTGATCGTTCATTAAAACTTTTGGACCCATATTGGTGATCCTCGGTGTGCTGGTGACATTCTCCCTTGCTAGGGTGAGAGTGCCACAGAGACACAGATTCGCTTACTGATAATGAAGAGAGTTTCTTTATGGAAGGAGGTATTTTTCGATGCACAACTGACTTCCTGCACAATAATTTCATAGGACAGTAAGTGCCAATTGTCTTTTTATTCATCTTTCTTAGAATAAAGGAGAACTGGAGCCAAATGTACAATCAAAAACCATGCGTGTAAAGTCTTACCAAAATATGTGTAATGCCATTCAGTCTCATGAGTCTGAGCACTCACCCTGCACGGCATCACTGTTAAAGTGTTACTAAACCCACAACAGTACAATCAGTCTGTATATGCAGTAAAGCATGCTTGTTATACTCACTGTGGAACATAAGGGGTTAATCCTCTGCATTATGTAAAAAGGCTGTTTGATCCTGTCTTCTCTGATCCTCCCCTCCAGTGTCCCCCTCTTATCTCCTGATAAGACATATTGTGTAGAGACACTCTGCACATGCTCAGTTTGGTGTGTATTACTAGAGAGTTTTTCTTTTTTTTCTTGGGAGAGCGCATGTGATCAGCACAGGGCCAATCAGACCTGTCCAGACAGAGATCAGAGGTTCTGAATCCTAGAGCAGAAAGAAAACTCCCCCTGCAAGCTTTAAATATATTTTTCAGATTTTTTTTACATATGAAAAAGTCATTTTAACATATATTTTTACATATATGTGTAAATGCAATCCAAAAAATGTAGATTTGTATTTTTAAAGACATACAGTATATTTGAAATGTATTTTTAAAATATATTTTGTAATAAAAACGCATTTCAGCATCTGAATAGGTGTGGGTACATCTGAAAATCACGGTGGTGAATTGGAGTCATACTCTGTCAAAGTGGTGTTTTTTTTTGGGATTTTGATATATATATTGAAATATATTGACTATGGCCAAAATTGTAGCATTTTTTAAAATATATTTTTTTTTTTTTTTTTTTTTTATTTTTTTTTTTTTTTTTTTTTTTTTTTACTTAAGTGCATATGTTTTTTGTGTTTTTTCAAGTGAACGGCTGTCCTATGCTGTTGCACAACAAATGCATAGAACACGCTTAAGTGTGTCACACATATATGCTAGGCCCCCTTTTTTTTTTTAATATGCAAAGGCTTATGAACAGTACAGGAGTTTCTTACATACAGAGATGCCAGTGTTCTCTTTTTTAATGAGAGTGTGATTCTTTTGCTTCAGAAATACATTATTTATTTTTCATTTCAGGCCGTACTTATACACAGCAGCACTGTATAATTGTACATTCACATCAGCACTTTACATATATATTGTACATTCACATCAGTCCCTAACCCAAGGGGTGTACAATCGGGCGTACAATCTAAGGTCCCTAACTCACATCATACACAGACTAGGGCCAATTTAGTCAGGAGCTAATTAACCTTACCAGCATGTCTTTGGAGTGTGGGAGGAAACTGGAGTACCCAGAGGAAACCCACACAGGCACAGGGAGAACATGCAAACTCCAAATACATTTTACACAGTTTGCACTATGAGCTCTCGTTGTGCTCTATGGCTATTAACCCTTGATAAGGAGCTGGAGGTAAAGCAGCCTGCCGAGGAAGGTTTTTGAGGACACATAGATTTCAGACTGTGTTTGACCTCTTTTGCTCAATGAGGTCCATCTGAATAGGTGTGGGTACATCTGAATCTCCCGGAGGTGAATTGGAGTCATACTCTGTCAAAGTGGTGTTTTTTTGGGATATAGATTGTCGCGTGTAGAGAATTGCACAATTTATAATTCATGGAACTGCTGTTTGGAGAATATTAACCTATGGATTTTGGGATATGTGGTTCCTGACATGATTCTTTTTTCACGCGTGGTGCACATACGGCTATAGTTATTATTATACAGGGTCTTGCTCATGGAGCTTACAATCTAAAGGAAGAGGGAGGTGACACAAAATGTAATAGCTGCAAGGGGTGACTGATGGAGGTGACACAAGTACAGTTCTTAGGTGGAGGTGGGGTCGGCTTCCCTGAATAAATGCGTTTTCAAGGACTGCCTAAAAGGCGGACAGGGCGGGAGCTAACTGGACATACTGGGGCAGGGAGTATTTATAGCGTCTATATTTACTTCACTGTTTATCACATTTTTTTATAGCATTTAGTAGGGATTATATGTGAAGGCGCGCTGCACTATAATATATATATTACATTATTACATTACATCGCGTTTATATAGCGCCAAAGGGTTTGCTCAGTGCTGTACAATAGAATAGTGCATGAGGACTGAATGGCGGTGGATTATATATATTACATGTTTTGAGGGTGTTCGCTGTTCTGTATGAATTTTTTGATTTGTGGATTGGGTAGCATGGGAATATTTTTTTTTTTTCAAATTTAACCCTCATGCACACTTGACGTTATTACAGCGGCTGTTTTGGACTTTTGACATTTTTGTTACAGCTTGTAAACTCCTCATCATGTTATGCTATGTGCAGGGGCGGACTGACAACTCATGTGGCCCCCGGGCAATAAGGGATCATGGGGCCCCTGTGTCCTCGCCTACACTCAAACCACACCCAAAAAAGCCTATGAAAGGTACCAGGGGCATCTCATGGGGCCCCCTACTGACCCCGGGCACTGAGTTCCCGAATGGTCAGCGCCCCTGGCTATGTACACATAGACTGTAATCAAAACGTTTTTTGGCTGGAAAAAAAACCCAGGACTAGTGGGTTGCTAGAGGAGTTTTTTAGCTGTAAAAATGCTCTAACACTGAAAAATGCGGCAAAACACAGCAAACCGACATTTGTGGATGTTTTTTGACCCCCAAAAAAAAATTGGGGGGGGAAACTTGATAAAAAACGTAAACGCGGAAAACGCCCCTAATTGCAGCAAAATGCCATTAAACGCTAATGTAAACACACTAAAAAAAGCTGAAAAACTCAAGTTTTAAATGAGAATTTACACAGCTTACATTACCAGCGTTATAATGTCCCGTGTGCATGAGGACTGAATGGCGGTGGATTATAATATAAAGACATGTTGTATTATGATATTATATTGAGCGATTATTATTATTTACAGCATTTTCCACAACGGTTTGGCAAGTGAAGGCAGGCAGAGACCACACGTGCCACTTACAATAGAACGCCAGCCAAAAATAACAAGATAAAAATGAACAGCCTGTTAAACAAATAACAAAACCAGCTTTTGTTTCATCATTCACTCCCAAGCAAGAGATTCCTTCCGCAGTACTTTTTTCTGCCACTAGTTGTCCTCAGTCTATTGGCCAGCATTATTCAACCCACTTCCTCAGAGCCCAGGTCATCCTGGACCTGCCTCTACCCTGTGAACAGTGAAGGAGAAGCAGCACAGTCTCGGGGCTCATCTCTCTTGCACTCTCCTCTTATCAGCTTGTTCCTTGTCATGACATAAACTAATCGGCTCCTTGTGCTGCTTCTTCTTCTCACACTTCAACCCTGCCGTACATGTACCGGTACTGCTTACATTTAAAAATTACATTTAATGGAGCAATGTTGTGTCGTTTGTATAAAAGTCTTTAAAGTACATAAAACTGTAAGAAAGTGACTCTGTACCTAAGAGCTAACAATCCAGAGGGAGAAAGAGTAGATAAGCGAGTAAGAAGAGTGTCAGCTAATTGATTACTGCAGGTGATAACAATGCAAATGTCAAAGATGATTCACTGCCCAGGACTTAAGGTGGGAATACACAATTAGAAAATCGACCGATCGGTCGGTCATCCGACGACCGAGAGGCGTTCATTTGTTGGTCGAAATCGTGGCCCACATTAACCAATCTTAAAAAAAATCGTTCGTCGGGCAATACGTAGTGTTGACATCTTCCGTACAAGTGGAAGTGATGCGGTGTGCGTGTGACCTTGTAGGATGAGAGAAGAAGAAGAAGCGCCTCTAAGTGCAGCATAACACTTTATTCAGGTTAAAAGGTAGAAACACTCACATAGTTGAGGTTAATATAAATATTAAAACCGTAATACGGTGTAAACATCGGTCCGGTGGGTGTACAGGGTGAGGAGCTGTCATCACAATGGAAGATAGTGTAGTCAGCGTGTCATTGGAGCAGCGTGGTGGCTGGAGGGGAACAGCTGTGGAATCGGCCGGCGTGCATGTCCTCCCTCAGAGCTGGGTGGGACGCACGGTGGAATGCAGCGGCGGCATGGCCGTGATGACGTCAGATAACCAGGATGCAGTGCGACGCGTTTCGGAGCATGCGCTGGCCAGGAAAGGCAGAAGTGCGCTCCTTTATCAAGCAGGACCTTGTAGCCACGCCCTTCCGGCCAGAACGAGCGATATACACAACAATGACCAGCAATGAGTATAATATCGTTTATTACATGACCTATATACATAAATAGTGATACATAAAATATAATCTGCACAATTCTGCTTTCATCATCTCATTCGGCCAATCTACTTTTAACATTTGGATTTTTCGTTCGTGTTTATGAAGATTCCTTGGACATAAACATCCGGGTCATCTTCTGTTTCCGCTCATGCGTGACAACATTCGATAGATTTTTTTCGTACGACCGTCATACCACCGCATAGAAAATCGGTCGTTTGTATGCGAAACAAGAACATTTTTCACTGCTGTTCAACCGGATTTTTTCGTTTACAACATCATTATCAGTTAAAACATCCTGCTCATCAACGAAGAGAAAATTGTTCGATCAGTGGTTCCGCAAAATTTTTCATACGATTTTCTTATTGTGTGTACGGGGCATTAGGCTAGGTTCAAATATGTGCGTGTGGTGCGGCTGTGGATCCGCACGAAAATCTGTGCATCCGCACCACCCGCAGGGAGGAATGCGGATCCACAGTGGGTGCCATTAGTTCTAATGGCACGCTGCCCGCACTGGAAAACGCAACCGTACTGGTAACCGAGGTTTCCATGCGGGCTGCATTTTCAAAAGAAGTGCAGGGACTTCTTCCCTGCGTGTCACGGGGTACGGGAGTCCATTCAAATGAATGGGCTCTTGTGCACAGGGGCGGACTGACGATTTGGAAACTCGGGCACTGCCTGAGGGCCCGGGGTCAGTAGGGGGGCCCATGAGATGCCCCTGGTACCTTTTTCATAGGCTTTTTTGAGTTTGGGCAAGGACACAGGGGCCCCATGAGTTGTCAGTCCGCCCCTGCTTGTGCCCATGCAAAATGTGGCCTTCATGGCCGCATATATGTGAACCAGGGGTACATGTCTGTCGGTTATGGTAGGTAGCACCACGAGGCACCATATTGTATGGGTATGTAGGCCGCGGTAGTATCGTACTAATGCCTGGTGTTGCTGGGGAAGGGTTAAAGAGCGGGATGCGATTGTAGGATAACTCACCACCCACCGGTAGGGTGGGATCCTCCCCAGCTCTACAATCCATGCAGTCACTGAGCCCTAGTTTGCTGGCTGCGGAGAGGCCTGGAGCAGGCCCTTCATGGCTGACATTCCAAATTACACTGCCCAGCCCAGCCCAAACATCGTGTCAGATTAATGGCTGTGACTTTGACATATTCCAGCCAGGAAACCCCTCCATAAAAACAAAGCCCCACAAGTGCCCCTGGCATCCTGCAAGAGAATTTGTCTGTTTTGGCCCCAAATAATGGAATAAGATTAATCTTCAGCAATCTGACATGAGCAAGAAATGACTTTTTTCTAACATTTATTACCCATTTCAGCAGTCGGTCGTTTGATTTTTCTGCAGTAACCCTTTCATTCCCACCTGAAGATTTGTAGGGGAACTCAATAGGATTGATTTAAATAAGTTAAAGTGAACCTGTGCTTTGCCCATGCCAAGCAACAAGTTCAATGAATTGTTCACCTTCCTCCCTGCATATGTACTTTACCTTACTGTATGTACTTACCTTTGCCGTTCTGTTCTGCGCCTGAAGCTAGGGGAAATACTGGTACTTCTAGGTAGGGGGGAGCATGTGCAGGGGCGGACTGACCATTTGGAAACTCGGGCACTGCCCGAGGGCCTGGGGTCAGTAGGGGGCCCCATGAGATGCCCCTGGTACCTTTTTCATAGGCTTTTTTGAGTTTGGGCAAGGACACAGTGGCCCCATGATCCCCTATTGCCCGGGGGCCCCATGAGTTGTCAGTCCGCCCCTGAGCATGTGACTCTCTTCTTCTTCCAGTGAAATGATGGTTGCCTGAGTGTCCAGTCGCCAGCCACCACTTGTGCAAGGCCTGACCAAATCAGCTTGGAGCTTAAAGTGGTTGTAAACCTCAGACATGAAATATGAACAAAGCATATCCCTCTATAGTGTGTACTTGTCTCAATTAAGAGCACAAAATGTTATTTCTGTCTTTATTCCTCTGCTATCAGCATGAATCACTTCTGACAAGTTTTCCTGACACCAAGAGAAAAATGGTGACAGGGGAGGGACCTCCAGCAGATTGACAGCCTCAGCTTTGCTCCCAGCTGTGCCGCCTGCTGTCGTTCTTCCTTCTGGAGAAGGAGGAGCTGGAGCATGCTGACCACCAAGGAGGTACTGGGAGAAGGCATAATCACTGGTTGTTGGTGATGCCAGCAGGTTTCTACTCCTTAGCAACCACCCACCGGCATCCTTAACAACCAATGTAAAGTGAAATGTTAAGGAGCCGGCAACCACTGACATCCTTAACATTCAGCTATTCACCTATAATCACTGTAATGCAACACATTTAAAACTCACTGTGTGTGTTTTAGAACCACTGCAGTGTGAAAGCAGCCTTAATGGGATGAATGTGACAATTGTTTGTGATACACCGCTTTAACAAACGAAATGCCATCCAGTTAGGGTTTACATCTACTTTAAAGTGTTATTAAAGCGGAGCTCCACCCAAAAGGGGAAGTTCCACTTTAAGCCTTTGTCCCCCGCTCCCCATTAAGGATTGGCCTTTGGGGAGCGGATACCCGAATTTGACAGGTACCCACTCCCACTTCCGCTGCGACCGCCTAGGTGATCGGAAGCGGAAGTTGTCCTCCCCCTCCCCCGTAGTCTTCAGGGACACATGACAGGTCCCAGAATACTACGAGGCCATTCACAAAGCGCAGCGCTTCTCGCGCATGCGCAGTGGGCACCCGGCTGTGAAGCCACAAGCTGTCACAGCCGGGTGCCCACACTGAAGATGCCGGCTCCAGGGAGAGAAGACGGCTGGTGAAACCAGCGGTGGTGAAGACACCGCTGGACCGAGGGACAGTTTTTGTAGCTGCTGACTTTTATTTTTTTTTAGGTAGAACTCCGTTTTAAACACAAGATCTATATAATCAAAAGAAGTTCCATTACTCACATGCTTGCTTAATTGTTATTATCTTTCATCCTCAGCCCCCTTGTGTCTTTAAAAAAAGAACTAGACGATCTGTTCAAGATTGCTTCTGCCTATAGGGTGGTTATGTTGCCTTACAGGGTCTCTCTGGAGACTCATTATAGCAGGCCTTACATTTGCGGTATCCTGCACGCCAACACACACAGGTCTATTTGGGCATACATGTATGAGAGCTACACGAGGGATCATGGGACATTTAGTCCCAACATGACTGGTGTTGACAGCACTCGCTCCCCAAGCAGAAGTTCAGGGAAGTGGCCTGGAAAGCCATTAAGTCACTTTATATATAGCAGTAAATACAATGTTTGGGAGCACAGTAAGGAAACAAAATGTAATAGTTCAGCTAATGAAGTGAATCTAAAACCAAACATTAAAAAACTGAAGGTTAAATACTACTTGAAGTTGTTTACCTGGAATTCAGCCTTAGTACAACTTTTGGATCAATTTTACTTTCTCAAGAGTGTGAAACCTCACCTCCTCCATAAATCCTTATTTTTATGTCTTTCAGGTTCTACTTATTCTCAGTGGTAACCTCAGCTTCCTAAATTGGCTTACCATTGTGCCATGTCTCGCCTGTTTTGATGATGCCAGTTACAGCCTCTTGTTCAGCTCCAAGGATGGGTCAGTCAGACACCAAGTGGCCAAGATCCAAAGACAAGACGCCAGCAGAGACAGGCTTCCGAAAAGTTATGGTAAGCCCTTGGGTATATTGAATTGCAAGTTTAGATATATTCTTTGTTTTCGTAAAAGAAAAGTCCATGTTAAGTGGAATTTGGTGTGTTTAGTCAAGAATCGTTTCTTTTCCATTACCTTGACAACTTCTGTCAAAGGATCCAGCTGATGATGAAGGCCTTATACTAAGTCATCCTTACTAGTCATTTTTTGGGTTTACATAAAAATGCTGTGTTCCAAAAACTGAACTTTGTCATTTCTAACTTGGAATGATTATAGTTGTCTGGGACAGCTTGTTCTATGTTGTCAGTTTATTTTTAGCATGGGATACAGCAAAGGGCAGGTGAGTACCAATTGGTGTAGGATCCTTCTTCAAAAAAACATACATACATGGAAGACCAATCCATGACCACATTTTCTGTATTGGTTAAAATAAGTCCTTTTAACTTCACAGTCAAGTTGACTGCCTTGTTATTATCATCCCACAATGGTTGCCTACTCTTCAGTCTTTGGCATCATCATGGCATAAGGCCTACAAAATTGATACCTCCTCTTCAGTCTGTGACTTAACAGAGGCATTAACTGATTGGTTAGTCTGTGAGATCACTGAATAGTGTGTCCTCCAAGGTAGTTGATTGCTCTGTAGACTTTGGAATCAGTAAAGAATGAGTCCTCCAAACTGCTGATTGCTGTACAGACTATGACATGCCTCAATAATGGTTGATTCTTCTTCAGTCTGTGACAACACTGAAGGACGTCTCCTCCAAAATGGATGATTCTTCTGTCTGTGATACCATTACACCATTGTGCAATGGTGTTACAGACAGAAGAAGCGATCAACCACCTTGGAGGAGTGTGTGTAATGGTGTCACTGATAGAAGTAGCAATCAACCACCGTGGAGGAGTTTGTGTAATGGTGTCACTGACAGAAGAAGCAATCAACTACCGTGGAGGAGTGTGTGTAATGGTGTCACTGACAGAAGAAGCAATCAACCACCGTGGAGGAGTGTGTGTAATGGTGTTACAGACAGAAGAAGCAATCAACCACCGTGGAGGAGTGTGTGTAATGGTGTTACTGACAGAAGAAGCGATCAACCACCTTGGAGGAGTGTGTGTAATGGTGTCACTGATAGAAGAAGCAATCAACCACCGTGGAGGAGTGTGTGTAATGGTGTCACTGATAGAAGAAGCAATCAACCACCGTGGAGGAGTGTGTGTAATGGTGTCACTGACAGAAGAAGCAATCAACCACCGTGGAGGAGTGTGTGTAATGGTGTCACTGACAGAAGAAGCAATCAACCACCGTGGAGGAGTGTGTGTAATGGTGTTACAGACAGAAGAAGCGATCAACCACCTTGGAGGAGTGTGTGTAATGGTGTCACTGACAGAAGAAGCAATCAACCACCGTGGAGGAGTGTGTCCTCCAAGGTGGTTGATTGCGCTGTAGACTATGAAATCAATAGATTGAGTCCTGAAAAATGGTTGATTGCTGTACAGACAATGGACATCCTTCAACAATGGCTGATTCTTCTTCAGTCTGTGCCAACACTAAAGGACCAGCAAATAGCAATAAAACCAAAACAAACTAAAAATCAGGAAACGCAGATGAATGTGATTATGGCTGCTCCAGTCTTCAAAATGTGCCCAACTTCTACATCTGTGAACCCTATAAAATGTGTATATAGACTGTGCTGCTTACAATGTGACTCAACGTTGCTAAACAGTTTGCCACATGTAAAAGTGCAAAAATTTGATAAATAAATAAATAACACCAGAAAATCCAACTAATGTCCAGTTCAAATAATAGTTGCTTAAAAACCAAAAGATAGGTGAACAGGTGCTGGTGCCATTAGTAACAGATAAACAGGTGACCACTTCCAGGTGCTCCAGTTGACCCCACATGGATTTGCACTCACTACAATGGATAGACCTTCTATTACTAGATAGTTCTCACTGCACATTTTTGGTTGGACCCATTGTGTATCTTGTCACCAACTTGACCATCCATATGTACCATATACATGTGAGTGAGGTCTAATTGTAGGTTTTATATGGTTTAATAAAGTCGGCTGCTTTGCACAATGAACCTTTTGCCTGATACTTTTTTTTGAGTGGCGGTGTATTGCACTGGAAGAAATCGCATCCTGGTACATATGAATGGTCAAGTTGATGCAAATTGTAGTGGCAGGAATCTTCCTGCTGCGGCTCTGGACGGGTAGGTGCAGGTGTTGTTCCCCATAATGACAGAGAACAATATTCCCAATGCACACATTCCTGTAAATGTACATGGCTGCTGCAGTGACCATCAGCTGGAAACCAAAGACATACAAAGCAAGAAATGTGTCACCAGCACATCGAAGGATCTCCAGAACAAGTCCAAAGCTTTATTAAAGTGGTTGTAAAGGCTCAAAGCTTTTTGCCTTCATGCATTCTATGCATGAAGGTAAAGAAATAACCTGTATGCAGCAGTGCCCAATCATCATGATCCAGCAATGTGCACAGGAGCCTCAGCTGTCTGGGGCTCTCCCTCCTCATTGGCTGAGACAATGGCTCCCTCTGCTGTCAATCACAGACAGTGAGTCAATGAGGAGAAAGAGGTGGCAGGGCTGTGTGTGAATGGACACGCAGAGCAGCTGCTCAGGAGCGAGTCCGCTTGGGTTCCCCTAAAGCATGCTGCTTGGCAGGAGGGCGGGCAAGGAGCGCCGGCAGGGGACCCGAGGAAAGGAGGATCAGGGCTGCTCTGTGCAAAACCACTGCACAGAGCAGGTAAGTATGTTATTTTAAAAAAAAATGAAAAGTGTCTTTAATATCTCTTTTCACGATCGTCATAGTTACAAAAAGGACATTTCGGAGCCTCACAGGACCCCTTCGTAAGGCATGTGACCTGATGAAGGGGGTTCTGCGAGTCTCCGAAACATGGCATTTGTAACTACGATGTGAATGCTTAGTAAAGCGTTGGACCTGTTCTGGAGATCCTCACTATAATGACAGGTTATCGGAGTGAATGTGATGCCTGTTTATGTGTTCTTGCTATATAAGCTAGCTATAGACTTGGGCGGTGGCCATTTTTATTTGCATGTTGGAGTTTTGGTACGTGGGTGCACTAGGAC